GCGAAAAAAAAAAAAAAAAAACGGAGTTCCCGCTCAGCGTGAACTCCGTGAACTAGCAGCGTTCACGTAACCACGTTTTCCGTGAACGGTGGCCGGCCCCCGTTCACAACCCCCGTGAACGGTGAACGGGGGTACGACACTGTTTGGGGCCATTTTCTGTCCAGATGCAGCGATAATGACCGTACGTTCTATTCGGGTGAACACGGTAGGGTTCAGAAAGTCACTCCTAGATTTCAACTAGGGTGGTAGGCAGCTATCAATCTGAGACATTTTGTTTTCCCTTCGACTTCGCGTTGTCCCACGTTGTTATGTGCCCCTGGCAAGCATCATACCCACTACCGTGGGTTGGCACATGCGTAAGCATGTGGGACCTGCACAAAAAGCAAAGGGGGCATTAAGGATCTCGCTCCACTACTGTCCACTGTACAATTTTTCGAACAGTTGGTGGACAGTTGTCAGAGCGAAAACTTGTACAGCGGACAGTGGAAAATGCGACATCGCTCCACTTACTGTCCGCTGTCCACCTCTCAAATTCGTGGCTTCACTACCAGACACAGTAATAACACTACAAGATAGGACGTCCATAGGGTTTTGTCCGCCCAAACTCCAGGTGCACTGTCCAAAAGCGGGTCCTCACGGTGAGTCCCTTGAAGGACTTTCCGCGTAACGAATTTTCCAGGCTGGGAGCTGTACATTCACGGACAGTAGATTTTCGACGGGGTTTCCAAAAACTGTCCAAACCATTTTGCACATGTACGGTGGACAGTAAGTGGATTGAAGTACGACTGTCCGTTTTTGTACAGTGGACAGTAGTGGAGCGAGACCCTAAGACTCCCAGATCATGGTGGTGTGTGGGATCCTAGCTAGTGGAGCCATGAAGACAAAATCACGTGCTCACCATTTCTGACAACTCTCGAGCTACTCTAGGATTTCTATTCAATTTCGTTTTTGTTAGTGGAGTGCGACCTTTTCTTCTGTCTTTTTTATTTTATTTTAAAAAGGCTTCCGATGCCGGAAAGCTACTTAACAAGGTGATTAGAGCACCCTCCCCCCATTAAGTAGCCCCCAACGTTGTAGTTGTCTGTGTCGTCGTTGTAGACAGTGTAGTCAGTTCGATTTTTGTGATTGACATGCAGTTCACCCAACCCCCCTCGCAGGTCTCCCTCTGCCAGCAACAGTTGTCCTCCATCTTGTCCTCCATCTGCGCCGAGCGGCAAAGCACTCCCAGCAGAGAGTGCAGGCAGCCCCTCCTCCAGGGCAGCATGCAGAGCACGTCCCTCCTTGAACAGATCATAGCAGCACCGCATCAGGTTATCCATCCGCTTGTCGCCAGCCGATAAACTCTTCCAGCAGAGGATTTTTGTCTTTTTTGCATTTGTGGGGAGACCCTACAACATGCTTAATCTTTGACACTTTTGCTCTGCAATTCTCTTAACACATTGGAAGAAGTTGCACTGAGCTCATGCCCCTTCTCAGTGTGCTATAACACTGCCATGTTTATGAACACTTAACAAGGTTGACATGCCCTCGAACAAGCATGTCACATATCTCATGCTATTGCATGCCCTGCAATACACATCTGCTCACGTGCGTGACCCATGACACTACATCTTCGACAATCCAACTTGCCAATGTTGCAAGATAAAATATCTCTACATCCAACATCAGAAAATATGTTACGCCCTACAGAGCCCACACCCCCCTCTCTCTCACACATACAAACAAACACGCACACACACACTTAGTTTGTGCTTGCTCAACCTGCCAAATGCACGTACGCTTTTCTGTAGTGGAGCGAGGCCCATATGCTTTCGCCCCAAAATCTGCAATTTCTCCTCCATTATGGACCTCGCTCCACTACTCACCAAATATGCAAAATCAGAATGACATGGGAAGATACACCACCATATTTTTTGTCTTTTGAGCCTCTGCTGAGCTGTGGAAAACATGAGAAAAAAACAACTGTCCTTTCATCTTGCATCTTGATCCACTAACCACCTACATAAAAAGTCTTCTGAAAGAAATGTCCATAACCCTTTGCACCAAAAGTATCCTCCTCACGCCCGATAGACCACTGTGATACGTTCTCACGCACGTCTACGGCTAACTCTTCCCCACCCCCCTCCAGGCTTCGCCTCCGCGCCGTGCACGGTATATTGTGCTTTCTACAGCACTATCAAGAAGCCTTTCACTCCGTACCTAACACTGCTCCTAAGGCTATATAGAGCGGACCCCAGTGGCGAGGTCCCATGAGCAGTCGGATAGGAGTGTGGCCGATCCAGTGTGACACTGAGTGGCAGCGGCCAGCCAACAAACGTGGTTTGAATCGAATGAATCTCTGGAAGGTCTCGAATTCCACCAGTTGAGCCAACATACGTGGAAGGTCGTTGTTCACATTGGCACTCCTCCTCCTCCGGATGCATTTCAACGCCTCCACGTCCCACTGTGGACCAAAGATTCCCAGTATGTGAGCACTCACGTCACACTATGGGCCTCTCGCCACTACTAGAATTCTAAATTCTGTACTAAACCTCCGAGTGTTAGGCTGTTGGACTTGTCCCAAAAAAATAAAATTAAAAATTAAAAATTAAAATTAAAATTGGACTTGGCCTCTTGTGGACGCAATCTGGTGCGATCTGATTCCGAGCGGATATGCAAAGAAACGACAGCCAGGCCCTCTGTCCTCCGTCTGTCCTCCCTCTGTCTCTTTTTTTTGTCCTTTTGTCCTTAAGGCGAGTATTACTTATATTGCGCACCCCCTGCTGGGGTTTAGTGCGCGACAGGGACGCTTTACACCGCCACAGCTGTCGCAGCTTTTTTTTAGGCCGGGGTGGCGTCTTTCTTCCTTGTTTTGCGTTTTTTCAGAATCTGCACACGCGCCTACTCCCGCCGCAGGGACAGCTCGACCTTCCGGACTGTCTGTGGCCACAGGTTTCGTTTGGTCCACGTGGCATACTAGGGTGTCGGCGTTCTGTGTCGAAATTTTGGATGCTCGTCATACGCGCCACCCCGGCGACTACGCTGCGCGGGGGGGGCAAAGAGTACCGCGCCTCGCTACGATCACAGATAGCAAGTGCGGCGCTGTGGCCGACGGTGTTCTTTTTTTTTGCGTAAAGGAGAGAATGCTCTTCGCTCGTGCCGCCGTGAGGGCTCTTTCCTGCCGAGCAGGATTACCGAAATCAGCGGTGGTGGCGCTATCTTCCGCTCGCACTGCTACTGGTAGTAACTTGCTTGCTGCCCTGCCGAATTACTGTCGTCGTCTGTCCGTCATGGCGTCACATGTGTCTGGCGATGGCGATGGAGGGAAGACGATGGTCGTCGGAGTTGAAGCCGCCGCAACAGGAATTGTCTTCGCCGTACCGCCCGATCTGTCGCAGGTCAGCTAGCATCTCTTACAGAGTTGTGGTCACCTCTGGTCTATTTGTTGGTTTACTCTGAACCAACCTCGTTTATTACCTCTCATAAAGCCGTGGAATTTGACAGAGATCGGAAGAAGAGAAATATGAGTCTGTGATATGTCGTCTTCTAGCTGAGGCCCCTGTCGATCTTTTGCGTGACGCCATTCGTACGCACTCTTATTGGATATATTGTGCACATGAGGGGTCAGGGAGAGCGAGCGAGCGAGCGAGAGAGAGAGAGAGAGAGAGAGAGAGAGAGAGAGAGAGAGAGAGAGAGAGAGAGAGAGAGAGAGAGAGAGAGAGA